GACAATGTGACCAACGGCTATGAATGTGTCGTGATATGTGATAACAAGTATTTAACATCACCGATGAACCCAAAATTACTTAACGTATTTTTAACACGCATAATAATGTGATATTATTACTTAAAATGGCATAAACAAATAAACTGCGAACCTATATAAAAAGGTTTAGATTACATGACTATTGTAAATTAACGACTTCGAGGCCACGTGCAGGAAATAGTTAATGATTTAATAAGGTTTGCACATATATTTATATCGCATATTGCTTACTATGATTATGCCAGGTTTGTAAGCTAACTTTCAGCCGCTATTGTCACGAGTAGTCATATTTTTATAGACTGTTCGCAACCATATTATATGTATATTTGTTACTGTCATATTTGCTTATAATGATAACCAATTAGTGAAACAATCACATTCTTAGCTCTATAAGTCACCAAAATACTACATATGTATTGTTAAATAAATTACTAAATTAACATAAGTGTAGGCCTATTTATTCCTTGTAAATCCATTACATGTTTTTACGCATTATTTATGATCAAATATTTAAATAACTGTTTGCTTACAAATCTTTTTCCATTACCTCGTTTTGCGCGGAAATATTATTTTTTCAATTAATTTGATTATAAAATGAATGCGTTCCAAATTACGGTTAACAAAAATTTATTTCTAATATTCACATTTGTTGGTTATCATTGATAATATATCTTAATAGATATATTTCTTCTGTGCGTGTGTATGTGACTGAACTCCTCTCAAACGACTGGACCGATTTTGATGAAATTTTTTGTGTGTGTTCAAGGATCTGGGAATGTTTAGATTCACAAATCAGCCCGGCAGATGGCACTGCAGTCGGTACTTTCATACTTTGCTTAATATCCTAATCGCTTTAAATATCATGCAGGACAACGTCTGTGGGGTCCATAGTATTATATACAAACGCTTAAACCTTAACGGGTAATTTTACTTTTTAACACAATTTCGAATTCGACCACGTGTAAGTGAGTTTTGTGAATGCATGTGAATTCATTAATTTGTTTGGCATCACGTATTTTATAGCTGTCGCAGACTTTATGATTTTAAAAGGTTTCAGGGTTCCGTTAAATATTTCTTCCTTAAAAACCTAGTTACGTAAATATTAATTGATATCTACAACGCGTCAATAAAATGTATTGAATGTGGTATGACGTATATTATAATTGTCGGCAATTCTGATTATCATATAAGTAAATACGTGGTATCACATAACTCTAGGCTTAACTGATAAAGATTAAAATGGTGGTTATTTGACATGTTTGAATCGATTTAGAAAAATTGTGCCGTTTCAATTTTTCTATAAATGTAAATATTCACGCTAACTAGAGAAACATTATACCTTATCCTATATCCCGTAGTCGTGGGTACAAGCTTCCGTATAAAACAAATGTACAGCAACGTATTTTTGTAATAATTTTGATACATACTGCACATTTTGATAAAATATAAATATCCTGTCCCATCTGGGACCTTCCCTGAAGAAACCGTGTTTTGCCAAAATATTTTACTGTGGACCCCCAGTTTCCTGGCACGCGTCGAAATAACACTTAAAGCGCGAAAGATCCGATACCCAGGCACTAGGTGAGACCAGGAGTGGGCGTCGGCATCTTTCGCGAAGCAAAAAAATTAAAAATACACAGTAATGGAGAGGTGACATTTAGGTCCGGTTGAAATATATTTTTCAAAGAAAATCAAATATTTAAATGAAATATAATTACCCAACCCAGAATCAAACCCCAATTGTTTATATACCGGACGATCACCATTCCACTACGCTATGAGGTACAAATGAAAAGATTACATTTTAACTTATACGAATATACAGGTCCTTCGATATGACCTTCGATAATTATTTCGCCGGGACATCAAGAATACCCTCTTATCATAACATCACGCTAATCTTGCGAATAAAACTCCCAGCTATGTGTTTGTGTTACATTATACAAATTTTAAGACACTCGCTGTCACGTAATGATCATTACGTTGTTAAACCACTATTAAGAAATATATAGCCATAGCAATTCGACACTAATAAAAGGTTGAAGAAATCACTTGTTGAATAATAATCGAATAAATACAGACCCCAAAAATTAATTAACAGCTACCAAACATATCAGAATTAATTATATTAAACCTTCCTCTCTTCCTTCGAGAATTCGTTTTTATATTTCTCGGAACGGCTACTTCCTCCCTGAGGCGACAATCGTACTCCAGATTTAATTTTTCGCTTTGCGATGAGATAGAGATATAAAGAAAACCGTCCTAACATAACGTCAAGCTAATCATCCCGCCCCAAAGGTGCGCTTACACGAGGACAATAATTGCTCGGCGACACGAATGACCGATTGGAGCAATTAATGGAGCAATTTCAATAAAATCAATAAATTACAAAAAAAAAATTCCGGCGAAATGGCTCCTAATGGCCCCGGAAATTCCAACGCCCCCCAGGGCCGGGATGCGGATTCGACGAAATCCAATGGACTTGGAAATTCCCAGCAATTTTGTATATGTCCCCTTGGCCCTTTTTCGGCCTTTGTTTTTTGTCTGGCTTGCGTGGTTTGCTGTCGGGGTGAGCGTGAGGTCTAAATTATTCAAATTTTAAGACACTCAAGTGTCTGTTCGACATCAAAATTTTTGAATAAAATCTAATTACTTGTTAAACGGGGAAAAAGGGGGCTCCCCCCCCAAAAAAAAGAACCCAGAGGGCCCCCCCCTTTTTTTTTTTTTTTTTGTTTAATAAAAAAAAAGGGGGCCAGGACCAAAAAGGGAAATAAAAAAAAATTTTAATCACATAGGTAACATAATGTACACTTATGAATAAGAAATATATAGCCATAAAGCAATTTTAATCACACTAATTAGCAACTAGGTTGAAGAAATGTACACATTGTTGAATAATATATTGCGAATAGAGAATACTGTTTTGTGCCCTAAATTGCTTGAATATAGTTGACGAGTATTAACTAGCTAGCCATAACATATTGTCTATATTCTAGAAAATTATTGTGATATCGACGTAGGAAACCATATTTGCTGTAAGTAGACATATTCCCAATTGTTCACCAGTGGAACCCAAAAACTTAATTTTTTTGGCGAAAAAAATTACTAGTGTAGAACCTATCCATGATATTTCTACCATTTTTGAAACATATATTTATTTAACTGCCAGTCACCATTTGCATATAAACTTTTATACTACTATAGACGTGTTTGGCTAGTTACAGCATACCAGTTTTTTAAATCACAAACCTTTAAAACGCTTAACTAAGGAAGAAAAATGTACGCGCGGAAAATTATCAATTTACAGGCGGTAAATATGCTGTATGCAGAAAATATATATATTTTGGGACCTTCAATTGCAATTCAAGATGTAAGATTAGTTAAATATATTGATAGAATCAGTGGTATTTGGAATATAATGTTTGGTTGAAATAAAATGTCGTAAATGGTAAAAAATAAAACTGTAGGTTCCCTAAACTTGCTGTAAGTAAACGAATTTAAAAATCAAAGTTTCGCCGCAGAAATGCTGTAAGTAGCGTTAAGTTTTTAAATGGGAAGAAGAAGTAAAGAAAAAATATTTTTCTTTTGCTGTAAGTACAAATTGTCTAAAATGACTGTTTTGTAATACAGATTCTTACTTAAAATTGGTTTCAACGTATGTAATTTTTTTCATCGTAGAGCACAGGGGGGGGGGGGCATTCTAGGGGGGTTTTTTTCTAATGGCAGTAAAAGTCACTTTAGGTATTTCGTCTACTTACAGCAAATATGCTTTCCTACGTCGATATCGAGATAGCAATAATCGAACCGAACGAAATAGAATCATATACCTGCGTATGATGTTAACCCAATTTGCGCTATTGTATATTATTCTCGATATTTCTAGGCACCTATGTTGTGGGCGTTTCTAATTAGATGTTCTAGAAAGAATCTGATTTCCGGAACCAACGAATACCTTATATGGTCATATGATGCTATCACTAACTAAAGCGCGCGGTAATTTGGTTTCTATTCGATTGTAACAACTAGTTATTTTGTTTGATTGTGTATAATGATTTTATGTATTTATTTTATATTCTTTGTTACCACGTACCAGACGTCCTTTTAGATTGTTCTAAAATTGTTCGTGGTCTAAATTAATAATAAACAAAAGGAGTTAAGTAAATTAAAGGTATAATGACTTTTGTTGTAACTGTCATTACACGTCATATCACGCTGCATTAACAATGAGATATACATATATTATTCAGTTCTAAAGAAAAGTTGTAGAGCTTGTTAATGCCTACAAAAAAGTCAACGACAGTCCGCCGCCGCGTCTATCTGTCTACCTATATGTTTGCGAATTGCGATAAACCGTGATGTAGGCACGGAATCTATTGCCGCGTTGCCCAATGTCTAGAATGATTTATGGAGAGGCTTTGGTAAAATTTTCGATACGTTATATTATACGCATCATCGTGTAAAGTTGTTATTAAGACGCCGTCTATGAGCATCTCCAATTCTAATGTAATTTTAATAATGGAAAGAAAATGCGATAGCCATTTCTATCAAAACTATCTCATACATTTTCATCGCTTGTTATTCCATCGGTAGAAGTATATCGTAGGTAACGGAGACTATTACCCTAAATTACCATAGTAATCCATTTGTTTACAATAACTACTCTATTTAGTGTATTTTATTTTTAATAAATTTAAAAATTTCATTTTATTTTAGAAGCCGGTTCGTTCAAAAGACATGTAACGTGCCGAGTTCCTGGAATTACATGGAAAATAATGTAACCCCTTGAAACGAGTTGTAATAACTTAGTAGTGAAATTCATATCTGTATTGTTTACAAAAAGTGTAAAATAATTATTCAGTGAAGTTGAAATATAATATATATTCTATTTCCTTTGTTTCAGACTTACATCAAATATTTATGATGACAATTATAATTGAAGCAAAAGATAAATTGAAAATACAATGAGTTTTATCAACAATGAAACGAACGTCACTCTTAATATATCGGAAACTGTAGACCCCACGCACATTTTTGGACCGCAACGAGATTCCTTACTCATAGTTATTCCGATAACAATAATATACGCCCTTACTTTCGTCACAGGGTTGTTTGGAAATATATGTACATGTATAGTCATAACGCGTAACAAAAATATGCACACAGCAACAAACTATTATTTATTTAGTTTGGCAATATCAGATTTGCTTTATTTAGTTAGTGGCATGCCCCAAGAAATGTATTCAATATGGTACAAATGGCCCTATGTGTTTGGGCAAACCTTCTGTCTGCTCAGAGGTTTAGCTGCCGAAACATCAACAAATGCTAGTATTTTAACAATAACTCTCTTCACAATTGAAAGATATTTAGCGATATGCCACCCATTCGTTTCACACAAAATGTCGAAACTCTCACGAGCAATAAAGCATGTTATCTTGTTGTGGATCATATCGTTTGCACTGGCGTTACCCCAGGCGCTTCAATTTGGCATAAAAAATCATAAAGGCGTCACTATGTGCCTACAAACAAGGGTGATTATTAGGCATTCCTTCGAATTGTCTACGATATTTTTATTTATTGCACCAATGCTTGTTATAACAGTCCTTTACTCGCTAATTGGACTTCGGTTGAATAAATCAAATTTTTCAAAAGGAGTAACGGAGAAGGAAATACAAAAAAACAAAGGAGTGATTCAAAAAATCTCCAGGAAAAATAGTACACAGTCGACTAGGCGGGTTGTAAAGATGTTGGGTAAGTTTATAGAGGACGAATGTTTTTACCTATACCTCTTTACAAACAAATAACTGTATAGCATTTATAGAAATAAGCCTTTTTTCTTTTTTTTTTAGAAGTGAAAAGAAATCATCTATTTATAATGTACATAATAAATTTAATCATAAATTAAGCATACCCTTTTAAATATTAGTAATGAAATGTAAGAAAAAATATTAGGGATGTCCTTTTGAAGGAATACCTATGGAATGGATTTTATATAAAATATTAAAGGATTTGCTAATGCGTGTGGAATCCTTGTGTAAACAATACGGAAGAATTTATGACATTTCAATAAACAAGAACTGTTATAATTATTTATCTTATGAGTTCGATACCGATTCAATTTTATTCTCTAACGATTTAATTTCCATTCTAGTTGCCGTAGTTATAGGTTTCTTTATCTGTTGGGCGCCGTTCCACGCACAAAGGCTCGTCGCGATCTACGGGACAGCCGAGAATCACTTAGCAAAATCGTCTCTGCTGCTGTCAGCGTATCACTTCTTAACATACACTTCTGGAGTCTTTTACTACGTGTCAACCTGCATCAACCCCATATTTTACCACATAATGAGCCACAAATTCAGAGAAGCGTTTAAGGTTAGTATCTTTGTAAAATTTTAAAAAATACATAGGTTTATATAAATAAAGTTTTGCTATTGAAGATATTATCTCCTCATAAACTATTTAACGGTACATGAACAAGTAATTATGTAATTATCTTAATTTAACTTTATAACTAATCTTCTTCTTCTTCGTACTTTTCATTACCTTCATTATCATTATCTTGAAAAGCTCTAACCGATACGTCGACTTGCTACCTCCAAATTGCTCTATGCTCCGCTTGTCTCAGGGCATTAAGGATGTCGAAACCCATAATTGTCTTAATTTGTTCAAACTATCGGGTAGGCGATTGACCCCGACATCGCCTACCGTCACTCCTCCCTACCATTACCAGTTTGTCGAGACTATCCGGTTCTCACCTGGCAATATGGGCAAAGTAGGTAGGCACCCGTTTGTAAATGATAGTTGAGAGTCTTGTGGTGATCTTCAGTTGGCTGAGAATAGTCTTGGGTTATTTTGTAGTCCATGGTATCCACAACATACCCCTCCAACACCTCGAGCTTATTTCGGTCCGCTGAACGAATTGACCAAGACTCTGATCTACACAAAAATATGAAAAATACCAAAGTACTACTCGTGGTAGTTTTCGAAACGTTTCCGTTTAGCCATATATTGGTAAATTTGCTCCTAGATTCACCAGAATTCAAATTATCTGTCTGTGCTCGCTCACGAATTTCCCCGACACATTCTGTTTGCTTATGAGTGGTCCCAAATATATAAATTCAAGTCCCCAAGTTCTCCAGACCGAGTGAGGAGTCCAATCCGATTAACTAATGACTTTTGTCTTTACCCAATTAATAGAAACCGGCCATTTCGCTTGCTTGCTGCACTCTGGAAAACAAATCCACCGTGTCCCGTTCCGAGGATGCAAATAACTTTGTGTGATCAAGCGTAACGGAGTAAAGGAGCGATACTCGTGAACGGGTGCTACTTGTGGTGACTGGTCGTACTTGAATTCGTGTATGCGGTGGTGATGTTAGTTATTTCGACTATGTGTTTGCGTGTTGTTTCCACGAGAATGTAAGTGCGTGCTCCTATAACACCATGCCTCCTGCTGATATAGGACAAGTCTTTGTTTTTAATTTAGGTTATTATTAATTACTTAAGATGTCATGTGGAATATGGTGTAATGGTTGCAGCTCCTTACAAAGGTTGTGTAAAAAAAATGGCGATTAAAAAGAGTGGCGGAGAGTTTACTGCCAGTTCTGGCACTAAATGTAAAGTTAGAAGCATTTCATATACATTTCTTTTTTTTGACGATCATAAGTGTACAATGTGTTACCTATATGATTAAATGATTTTTGAATTTTGAGTTTGCTGATTTTGAGATCAAAATCGAAATGCCTTCACCCCGTTCTTCCAGCGCTACCGTCTTAATATAATTACCATAAATATTGAACAGGAGGAGAGACGGGATGCATCCCTGTCGAACCCCTCTTTGCTGTTTGAAAGGCGCCGACTCTACGTCGTCGTCGGCCCTGACCATTGACTCTCCTTTCTCATATAGGCTAGCAAGTAGCAATCAGTTCCACTAAGTGTTCTGGAACACCCATGTCTTTAAGGATTTTCCAAAAATAATAAAGGCAAACAAATATTTGTAGAAGAAAGAAACAAACATAATACATATAGGCAACCTGCTCTCATATTGTTGGCTTGGAAACTGTTTCCCAAAATAATCCGTTAACACATTTCAGGTTACTATAGCCCAGTGTTGTTGTCGGGAGACATCGAGATCGATAACGAAGCGTTGTTCATATACAGCTGTACCATTCTCACGACAACCTACATCAAACGGAACGATGAACTCTGGTATCATATTTTTCGTTACACCATAAGAAATCGGAATATTATCTTAATATTATGTGCCATTGAAGCGGCGTTTTGAAAAGAATTAACTTTTAATTTAAATTAGTGATTTTATTAAAACGTGGACTTAGTGGCTTCCTCGCGATGTTTTAAATGTATGAGCAAGCAATGCGTGGAATTAATAGACAAGACCTCAGGGTTACAACACGTGCCTGGATCAACACCACCCTAATATATTATTATATAATATGCGTTTCAGGTTCCTTAAAACAGCAGCTGAGTATAAAAGGACTGCAACCAGAATATACCTGTACCAAAGAAAACATTCCAACCTCCCGAGTTTTCAAAGTTTGTGAGAAATGTAAACGTACATTCACTGTTCCCTCTCCGCTGGAGCTTAAAAGTTGTAGTCATAAAGCCCATATTGATACACAATTCGCTGATAGTACTTAATAAATATAAAATAATATAGGACTTCATTGAAATAATGAGTGAACTCGAGATTAAATAGTTCGAATTGCAGCTTTTTTATGTGACTTTAATGCATAGAAAATGGAACACAAGTAGTAATAGTAGTCGCCGTTTTAGGCCACTGAGAGATCCAGATCTCGTTGGCAGTTATCTACTATTGGATTGTTAAGCCTTCAACTATATTAGGTCTGCCATAAAAAATAAAAAAATAATAATTCAGTTTTGGAAGGTTCGGAACTGATTTTGTAATTCGTGCAATATTTCAAAGTTTTAAGCAATGCATTATTCTACAGATCTTCCATAAGTTACATAATAAACGTTCACGACTACAAAATACATTTAAAGGAATTAATTTTTCTATTTTTTTTTTATTGAATCAAAGATTACAATAATTACCGAGTTCGAGTTATAATTTGGTTATAAAGATATTTTGCTTTTCCAGTATTTAATATGTTTAAGAGTATAATTTCATCAATTATTAAACTCCAGCCTTAAACTCCAATTTTGTTCATATATCTCGCACATAAAATAAATAGTATAACCAAATTAGCAATTACAATAAGAATAGATTACAATAAGCAATAGATCATTATGCACATGGCATTGAGATAATTTTTAATCTATTCTATTTAAATTTGATTAAAATGTCCCTTTGTGAACCTTTATGGATAGTAGCAGAGTTTTAGGTTCATATTTTATAACGAATTATTAGAACTGTTTTAATTTCTATCGACATTTTAAATGTTATATGACGTGACGTTGTTCCATTTACGGGTCCACTTAGTTATCGTTAGATTAAACCAAATATATTATAGTTAATTATTATTATTATAATAAATTATGTTAAATAAGTGTATTGGGAAAACTGGAAATTTAATGACTGTCATTAAAATAATTTTGATTTCTTAATAAATTGATTACACACAATTGTGTTATTAACAGCTGTTTTAATCATATATGTACGTGTAATTTAATTAAGAGTCGCACTGTAATATGATTAAATTAGACGTTTATGAAGTTTTGTTTTTATGTATTATTGGACAAAACAACTTCTGAATCTAAACTATTATATATTGAACTTTTTGGAAATCAATCGTAAAAAGAGAGTATATTATTTAAAAAATGTTTATTTCATAGGCAGTCTACGCTTATGTAATTGTGTGTAAAATATAAATGTTTACATAAGATGAAAGGATTTTTGTTTTTTTTATGGGGAACTGAACGCCCTCCCGATTAACCCTCAAGCGGCGCGACTGCCGTGTGGTTAATGTGGGACTCGCTACTGTGCATACTCACTAAAACCCCAGCAGCAATCGCCCAAGGCAGAACACGGTAGCACATCGACCTATTCGCCCTGATTTGAAGAGCTGGAGGAGGTCGGGTACAATGCTAGCAAGAATGCAGCAGCATCCCTTCTTTTGGACGCATGAACCCCTGTTCCCCCCGGCTGAAACGTCTGCGTGCCCAGGATTAGGCAACGCGCTAGACTGTGAAACGGCGACGCGGATGTGCTGCGGGATCGACCCCCGATCGATCGATCCGTGGCCCTCTCAGCCTCTTCTTAATGTTGCATGTCGGACTCACAGAATCTCTGAAATCCTCCAGATGCCAACACTGTCCGTATTTATAACTCCTACTCTCACAATTTTATCGAGAGTAGCGTCCTTCGTCCTAGTGGAGAGACCTCCTTTCCGCCGCCACTTCTCATGCTAGGCAATCCTTTAGAGTGTGAAGCGTGTCATCGAAACGCGACGCCGCCGGCGTCTGAATGGTTTTACTATTTATTAAAATAAGAAAATTAAGTAAAGAAGTGAAAAAATTGCCAGCTCTCAGACAGCGTTAGGGTTGCCAATAGGTGACGATATTATTGTTAATTATTTACAGTCAACCTTTTTTTAATATTCATACAAAATTATAGTTTTAAATTTCGTGTTCACGATAACCCATGGTTTCCAGTAAAATAACAGCTGGTATCCATACTTTCAATAAACGATTCAAGAGAAAATTATTATAAGTATATTAAATATACTTATCCCATAGCAACATTTCACGTCAATTTCATATGTAGCGCAGATTTATTATTGTTCTTACTTGTGATTTTTTTAAACGAATACGAGGCTGGAATTCAAAACAAGAACGATAACTTTCCGGTTTCAATAAAGAATCTCAAAAAGTGTTTACCTAACTTATTTATTTCTACATGCTTTGTTGTATGTTGGGGCTAGATGCTACATATCTCTCCAACAAACTAAGAAATACATTTTAGACTAATACACTATAATACAAAACAATATAACAAATATTACAAAATTATCTTAAAACTAGTACTTGTTTCAAACACAAGAAAAATAAGCACAAACAACCTAATCAAATATTATATTTAGCTCGCTATAAAGCACGCAATGCTCGAGCCGATGGTCCCAGAGAGGACTCGAACAGGGTCTGTGTTGGTTGAGGTTCAATCTGGCCTGGTTGGTAGTCTGATTTATTAAGTGTCTCTCACGTAACCTCAACCTAAAGCAAACAACCTCAACCTTAACCAATAATTCATCTCGTTCCGTTTCCTAGCAGGACCAGAGTTCTGAACTAAATTAAGATAATTTGAGGAAAAGGCAATCGCGACAAAGCATAGACTGTACCGTTGTCCACTGATCGCACAAATTCCATCGTAAAATCATATACAGCCAAACGCGCCGCCCATCTCTCCAACCGGCTTGCTGCAGTCTAAGGAATACCCGACTGCAAAATATACGTCAATTTATCTTTGCATATTTGCCCCGATATGTCCATACCTCTTCCGTTCTCCACCCAGACGTCTTATTTTAAATTTTTATTTTTGAATGCTCGTCCTGGGAATCCCACAGCACAGTATAGTTTCGGTACAATCCGATCAGAGAAAACATTTTTCTTCCGACCAATCCATTTAACCGAGCGTGGAGTGCAAAGGTATCCACTATGTGGAGCAGTTGCAAGAGCGCGGAGCGCAAGAGGTTCGTGAACATAGTGGATACCCAGCTTAAGCGTGCGGAAACACACAGCAACAAGCTTTTATTGTACCAGTACTTATAACCGGCGATAAAGACAATGTCAATATTTACTGACCAATTTCAATTCTTCCTTCATCTATAAGGTCTTAGTTACTAAATATTACTAAACTACCTAAATAAACATAAAATACTCTCAAGCTGTCAATATGGATTCAGGCAAGAAAAATCGGAAGAGCTCTACCATCTTAGCTAAATTGCTTCCGTTAGGACGTTAGAACTTTCCCCTTTGATCGCAAGCAGCTTTCAAAAAGAAATAGAGATGTTGTCGTCGGTCAAACAGTGAGCACTGACTTCGCCAGACGCAATATACAGGCAGACTATATGAATTAAATAGGCTCCATAATATCTACCCGCTCACTGTTTACAACTCCAGAACACCGTAAGAATTTGATTATTTTCTGGTATACATTTAAAATAAGGAGTACGACGGTAAATAAAAGTAACAGGTAGACTGATTCCTCAGATAAAAGACACTGCTCGTACTCGTGCTCGTTAAATCAAATTTCATAATCTTTTCCCCTTTACCTTAGCAAATAACTCATTAATGCGCGGTAATATAGGGTGTCTCAGCGCCGATTTTAAACTTTAAATATTAATAAAAATATTAAAAAATTGTATTTGTACTATTATAATTGCAGTAAATTATTATTTATTAGTGCGGATTTTATGTACGGAATATTACACCGTCAAGATGTCTTCCATCACGGTGAATTCACTCTTCAAAGAGGACTAGGGAATTTGCAGAAACGCCGCAGGATGTCAACTGATATGGCTCTCACTTATGTCGGCATTTGAGTCTTCAACTGCTCAAAATTCGAAAGATTTTGAGCAGTTGAAGGGGTATCATAAACTCTTGCTGTGAGATAACCCCATATAAAAAAGTCAGCTGGGGTAAAGTCGAGAGATCTGGCCACAATGTGTCTCCAAAGCGGCTTATGATTTTTCCCGGAAACAATGCTTTTAATGTGTCCATGGAGACCAAATAGCTGTGTATGCTGTAGCCCCATCTTGTTGAAACCATACACCTAACTCGTCAATATCCTCTTGCAGCTGCAGTACAAAAAAAATATGAATCATGCCACTTTACCTCTCGCTCGTCACTGTAACCGTTGCACTTCGGTCATTCTCGAAGAAAAATGGCACGATGATTTTCTTCGCCGGTATTGCACACCATGCAGTAAATATAGGGCAATTAACGACAATTTTGACGATTGACATACCCTTGGAGGTGAAAGTGTGAGTCATCACTAAAATAAACGTTGTCTATCCCATTTTCCTCTGAAAAAATCTCTAACATCTTCTGACAGTAAATTTTTCCATGGTTGTTGTCTTCTGGTTGGATTTTTCGGACTATTTGGATCTTAAAAGGAGGTAATCTTAAGTCTAAGGCCAAAATTCGTTGCAGACTAGAACGATGAAGGCTCAAAGTGGCGGTATGTTTTCTAACTGATCGTCGTGGATGCTCCGCGACCGCAGCGGCGACGCGGTCGATCGCACAGGTCTATTTCGCGGGTGAATTAGACCTGATTCAGTAAAGATTCTGTGAGATCCCAGATTGACAGTTTTTTAGGTGTAATACGTGTTTATTTTAGATCATCGACCGTTATTGTGAGTTGCTTAAATATAAAGTATAAAGAAACGTACATTACTGTGAAGAGCATTTAGCGCAGTGCAATTTTTACTGAGACAGTTTTAAAGAGAGCATTTATTGTTGTGCAATTACGGAAATATATTTAATAAGTAAAAATGAATGTTTGCGAAGGTTGCAAGAAGTCGCTTTTAGCAATCGAAAGCATGCGCTGTTGTATGTGCGTTCATCTATTTCACTATTTTTGTGTAAATATTAATACAAGCAACTTCAAGAAACTTTCTAAGGACGCTAAAACTTCCTGGAAATGCCCAGCTCGTAAAGTTGCTACAAAAAAAATAGCTGAT